GCCTTAGCATCCTTGCATATGTGTGAGTGACTGCCATGATAGCATGCTTACTATGAGGCTAACTGCTTATGTGATATAACTGCCTGCATGCCTGTGGATGAAGGTTGGGTTGCTTGAGTTGGAATAATTCGTCGAAACCCGTGTTTTAGCCTACTTGCAAGTAGCAAAATTCAATCAATTTTCAAAACAAACGGATGTGCGATGCTTTGTTCCAACTTAAGCAATCCAGTCTATACTTGTATGCTGTGTGCATCACGTAGTAATTCAAGGCTAATAAACCAGAATAAGAGCACATAATGTTTTCAAAAAATTGATATCATGGTTAGTAGAGGCCGATCTATAACTGCCTGAATGCCTGTGGGTAAAGGTTGGGTTGCTTGAGTTGGAATAATTCGTCGAAACCCGTGTTTTAGCCTACTTGCAAGTAGCAAAATTCAATCAATTTTCAAAACAAACGGATGTGCGATGCTTTGTTCCAACTTAGGCAATCCAGTCTATACTTGTATGCTGTGTGCATCACATAGTAATTCAAGGCTAATAAACCAGAATAAGAGCACAGAATGTTTTCAAAAAATCGATATCATGGTTAGTAGAGGCCGATCTTTGATCGGGCGAGCGGGGGTGCTCATAGCTGACCTTCCCCAATCGTACCCAAGTTTCCGAGCCGAGGCAACTTTGGTGATGACGGACACATGGCCTTAGGCAACGAGTCAGGGTTTCCTAAATTCCCTCAAAATAAATATTTAGGTGGCGACTCTGTATCTGGCAAAGCAGTCCATGTTTGACACTTCTTTCTAAAAATCTGTTTTCCAAAAAACGATTTGCCGGATTTGGACTCTTTGGTGATTTATCAATCTCACATTGCACATTGTGAGATCAGATTAAGAACCATGACATTTTGAGTCTGAACTGTAGTCAGCCCCAATGAACAAAACGGGATTCATCTTCCCGGGGCGTTCGTGGGGACGTCTACATGGACCTATACACCTTTCTTGTGGACCATTTCGTTATTTTATGGTTTTAATAGATGCATCAACCATATGTACATGTTTGTTTACTTTTTACACGTAATGTTGCATTTGCCAGGCTTCTTGCTCAAATAATTTGATTGTGTGCACATTTTCCAGACCATCATATCAAGACAATTCATGTTGATAATGCCAGTGAACTTACATCCCGAGCATTTGATAATTATCACATGTCCATTCGCATTGATATTGAACACCCTATTGCACACACTCATGCCCAAAATGGTTTAGCTGAACTTTCATTAAGAAACTTCAGTTGATTGCTCGGCTTTTGCTTATGAAAGCAAATTACCTATTTCAGCATGGGGTCATGCTATATTGCATGCAACATCTTTGATTTGTGTCAGACTAGCTACATATCTTGAGTACTCGCCTTACAACTTGTATTTGGTCAACCACCAAATGTTAGTCACCTTAGAGTGTTTGGTTGCGCGGTATATGTTCTTATTGCACCTAAATAGTGGACTAAGATGGGTCCACAACGTAGGCTTGAAATTTATATTGGTTTTGATTCTCCATCAATCATTAGATATCTAGAACCTTTGACTGGTGATGTGTTTAAGGCACAATTTGAGGATTGTCATTTTGATGAAACAATTTCCCCATCATTAGGAGGAGACAAGTCGCAGCCTGAAGCTCGACAGGAAATCACATGGAATATTTAGATGGTATCTCATCTTAATCCTCGTACTAATCAATGTGAACTAGAATTTCAAAGGTTCATTTATTTGCAAAGTATTGCAAATTAGTTATCAGATGCATTCATCGACACAAAAAATGTGACATAATCTTACATACTAGCAGCTAATACCCCAGCAAGAATTGATGTTATTGTCGGAAAATCAATGGGTATGGTAACAAATGAGTCTAAGGCATGCCAGAAGCGTGGGAGACCCATTGATGTAAAAGACAAAATTCCTCGAAAGAGGAAAGCTCAAGAACAAACAGTTGGTACTCTAGAAAAAACCATAAATGGATCTTCTAAAAAGATCATACCCAAAAATGAAAGCACCCCTAAAGAGGTTAGAACCACAAAACAGGCTATAGTAAGTCTATCCAAATCTCCTACTTATGAACCAGCAGAAGAAGAACATTCGGAAGAGAAATCTCTTGAAGAGTTATTCCTTGAAGTGGAAAAAGGTACCTGAAAATAATGAGATCTCAATACATTATATGAGTATGGGAGAAGTTTGGGATATAAATCAAATTGTTGTCGATAACATATTTTCATTTAAAGTTGCTCTTGACATTACCAGAAGTAATGCTGAAAATATTATCAAAAGCGATGATGACAATGAACCACAAATGTTGAGGAATGTCGACAGAGAAATGATTAGCCAATGTGGAAAGAAGCAATACAAGCAGAGTTAAACTTGCTTGCAAAACGTGAAGTATTTGGACTTGTAGTCTAGATCCCTGAAGGGATACAGCCTGTGGGATATAAATGGGTGTTTGTTCGAAAACGCAATAAACAAAATGAAATTGTAAAATATAAAGCACGATTTGTTGCACAAGGTTTCTCACAGAGACTTGGTATTGATTATGAGGAAACATATTCACTGGTAATGGATGTAATTACATTCAGATTTTTGATTACCTTGGCAATCACAGAAAATTCAGATATGCATCTAATGGATGTAGTTACATCATATTTATATAGATCACTAGATAGTGATATATATATATATATATATATGAAACTCCCTGAAGGATTTAAAATGCCAGAAGCATCTAATTCAAAGCCCAGAAGTGTTTATTCAATCAAGCTACAAAGATCTCTATACGAGTTGAAACAATCTGGACGCATGTGGTATAATCGGCTCAATGTATATCTATTGAAAGAAGGATACGTGAATGATCTGATTTGTCCATGAATTTTTATTAAGATATCATAATCCATTTTTGTAATTGTTGCAGTATATATTGATTTGAATCTTATAGGAACTTCCGAAGAGTTTACAAAAACTGCAAAATATTTAAAAAAAATGAATTTGAAATTAAAGATCTTGGCAAAACAAAATTTTGTCTCGACCTGCAGATTGAACATTTGCTGAATGGGATTCTTGTACATCAATTAACATATACAGAAAAAGTTTTGAAGAACTTTTATATGGATAAAGCGCATCCTTTGAGTACTCCTATGGTTATTCAATCTCTTAATGTGAAAAATGATTTTTTTCGACCTCGTGAAGATAATGAAGAACTCCTTGGTCTTGAAGTACCATGTCTTAGTGTATCTTGTAAATTGTACTAGGCCTGATACTACATTCGCTATCAATTTATTAGCAAGATATAGTTCTGCACTAACCCAAAGGCATTGGAATGGAGTAAAGCAAATATTACGTTATCTTTGTGAAATAACTGATATGAGTTTATTTTAATCAAATAAATCAAAGTTACAATTAATCAGATATGCAGATGCTGGATATCTTTCTGATCCGCATAAAGCCAAATCACAAACAGGATATGTTTTTACCTATGGACATACTATAAATCACTCAAAGATACTTGTAATTCATGAAGTAAGTCGAGAATGTAATTGGCTTACATCCATGATCCATCATAATGTGAATTGTCTTCAACAAAAGATAGTCTAACTGTATTATATAAAGATAATGTTGTGTGTATCACATAGATCAAAGGAGGCTTTATCAAAGGTGACTAGACTAAACACATTTCACCAAAATTATTTTACACATATGAGCTCCAGAAGAATGGTGATATTGATATTTAATAGATACGCTCAAGTGATAATCTGGTAGATCTATTTACCAAAGCACTATCGACTGCAACATTTAAAAAGTTGGTACATAATATTGGGATGTGTCGGCGTAAAGTCCTATTATGCAGCATTGATGGGGAGTCATCAATTTTAGTAGACTTGTAGATTGTACTCTTTTTTCTTCGTCTAAGGTTTTTTTCTTACTGGATTTTCCTTAACAAGATTTTAATGAGGCAATCTAAACAAATCACATAAAAGAATATTGTATTATTTTTCCTTCACTAAAGGTTTTTACCCATTGGGTTATCCTTGGTAAGGTTTTAATGAGGCATATTCTTAGTATATGGTTATCTAAGGGGGAGTGTTGTGAAATATTTGAATAACCATTAAAAGATATGCAATTAGAATTCTAATGAGTTTTGGGCCAAAGTGGAATTAGAAGAAAGTTCTACCATATGGGAAGTGTAGTATGCCATGTAGTAAACTACAAGGTGTGATGAATACTGGTATATAGTGAACGTTTTATCACCTATAAATAGGTGTGTTTTCATGGTAATGTATATAGAGAAAAATTATGTATTATATGTGTGATCGCTTATTTCCTCTTCCATTATGACTCTTTCTTATTTATTTCTTTAGTTTTATAATATATATAACATATAAGTTGTGGTTTTGGCATGGGAATGGATGTATGCAGGGCATTGGCCCCAGGGATGGAACCAGGAATTCATTTGTGGGGGGCCAAGACATAAATAATTTTTTTTATATGAATTGATATAAATTACTATTTTTTTGAATTCAAAAGATAAACTAAAATTTAATATTGAATTAGTACGTAAAAAATAAAACAACCATATATTTAGTGAATTTAATATATGAATAAAAGCAAAGTCATGTATTAAATAATTATTTATACAAAGCAACTCAATCATCCATCAAAGTGGAGCTCAACGTTCTTTCATATCTTGAAAGTTTTCGATGATTGACTCTGTGGTAAAATTTTCAGCAATTTCCTTGTCAATGTACACAAGCAAAGAATTTGTAAGAAATTCATCTTCCATTTTGTTGCGAAGTCTAGTTTTGACAATTTTCATGGCTGAAAATGATCACTCCGAAGTTGCAATAGAAATTGGAAGAATAATAACAAGTGTAATAACTCTATAAACAAGTTGATAGACCGTAGATTTGTTTGTCCTTACCAACCACTGACACAATTCAGAAATAGTAGACAACTTTTTGTAATCCACTTGCTAAACTACATTATGCTCGTAATGGTGAAGTTGCATTCTCAATTGTATTTTCTCTTGATTTGTGAAGTCTTGCAGATAAATCTTCCCAACTAACTGACAAATATCATCCATTCTAAAAGTTTCAAACAAATCTCGAGGATCTAGAGCTGAGCTAAGATTAAGTAACTCTATTGCATGTTCATTAAACTGCCCATTTAATTCTTGTAGTTGAGAATCTATTGCAACATAAAAAATATCTACTCGATAGTAATGCTCAATTGTAAAGTCATCTTGATGAGCACGAGCTCGACCTCTTCTCCCAATATAACGAGCATTCATATTCGGGACATCTATGTTACGTACCTCACAAAATGATTTCACATTGGCTGGTACAACATCCCGTTTGTCATCTCTAAACTTTTGCAGAAGTGCCTTGGTAGATGAAACTAGATTCATAGCATTTAAGATGTCTTGAGATCAGCATTGCAACAAATCTTGACAAAGTAAATCATTGATCCCCAACATTTCTTTCATGAGATGCAAAATAAAGACAAATTCAAATGAAGTCAATGTTTCATAAGCTGAGTTTGCATCTCCTCATTGGGTAGAAGTTGTTCCTTCATTAATGATGTTGAGAAGAACGTCACATGTTGGACTGAACATTTTTATTAAGCTTGAAATTGACTTGAAGTAAGAACTCCAACGAGTATCTCTAGCTCGTTGTAAAGTGTCAATCTGGTTAAGTCCCTTTCCAGTCTCAAACTCATCAATGTTAATCATATGTTCAATTTCAACAGCCTGTGCAACTTTCAATTTATCAGTGTGCTTGCATGAAGCACCGACAATATTGACAACAAAAGTTAATTTAAGAAAAAATTTATGAATTGGGATAACATCTTTCGATGCTGCCACTAAAGCCAATTGCAAGCGATGTGCAAAATAATGAACATAATAAGCATATGGACAATCATTCAAAACAAATGCTTGTAATCCTTTCCACTCACCTCGTATATTACTTGCACCATCATATCCTTGCCCTCAAATATTCTGAATATCTAAATTGTGATGAGACAATACAGAATATATTCCATCTTTTAGGGTTGATGTAGTAGTGTTAGAGACATGAATAAGCTCAAAAAAATGCTCTTTCACAAAACCATCTTTGTCAACAAATCTCAAAACCATAACCATTTGCTCTTTTGACTCATCACAAGCTTCATCAACAATTATGCAATACTTTGCATCACCAATTTCTTCACGAATTACATTCCTCACTTTGGTTGAAAAAAATATGTAAAATTTCTTTTTGAATCTTTGGTGATGTGTAAGAGGCATTTTTCGGAGCTTTATCCAATACTTTAACAACATTGTCATTATAAGACCCTAACAAATTCACTATTTGAAGAAAAATTTCGCAATTGATTGAATCTGGCCTTTCATCATGACCTCTAAAAGCACAACCTTGAAATGCAAGCAATCGGATTGTATCAATTGAGACTTCCAATCTTAGTCGATTATCTATAATTTGTTCATAAGTGAAATTGTCCAGTACCTTTTGTATATTTTGAAATTGATTCATCAAGTCTTCACATGATCTCTCGACAACATTGTGAAAAGAGTTAGGATATTTTCTTATATGATTTAAAAAAGCACATTTTGCTCTATCCCTAACTTTCTTCCGATTCTTAAATCCATCAACAATGAATGCTTGCTACCCACAATATCTAGATCCACATGGTTTATGAAAAAGAAAACATGGTAAACAAAAAGCTACATCTTTTGCAGGTAAATATTCCAACCATGACAGAAACAGTTTGAACCATGACGGTTGAAAGCTACGAATATGAGTTGTTGACCCAAATTTCAGATAGTTTGAAAGTATAGGTTGGTATGGACCAGCCTTAATATAAGCTCGTCGAATTTCATAACGTTGATTAACATGATAATTCCAAATCTGTATACGCATAGGATTTCGCTCCAATAAACCAATATCAATTTCTTTAACATCAATTTTTTGAGATTTTGTTGGAGGATTTTCAGGGATATCAACAATGGAAGTTGGCAATGATGCATTATCAACATTGACTTTTGAGGAACTTGCATTTTTTTTTAAAAAAAAAATCTATCAATTGTACATGGCTTTGCCATAATAATCTACAAATCAAAATAGAATTCATTACATATATGGTTAATATTCTACTTAGAAGTTAGAACCAATTGCTAATGTAAAATATATATATATATATATATATGTATATATCACAGGACATAGAAATTTTTTGTGTCTAGAATCACAAATGCAATTAAAACAAATTTCATAGAAATTTAAAAATTCAGAATTCAGATTCAACACATAAATTTTATACAACTCTCAATTCATTTTAATTTTGAATTTATAACACTTAATCTCAATAAAATTAAATTTTCCCAAATATGATAAAAAAAAAAAAACCTAGTAATTGAAATCATACGTCCTAATTTATAATTTTTTCTTAATATGTAAAATTAAAAAAAATTGCAATTTTATCAACATGACATTGAAAAGAAAAAAAGATAATGAAAGTATTACAAATTGAAAACAATAATAAAAGAGAATATGAATCACATACTTGTAATAATGAGAAGACTAATAGCAAAACCAACACTTTTTTTTTTCTTTCTATATTTCCAAGTTGATTTGACTCCACGCTTTCAATCAATAAAGCGGCGTGCAGGTGCAGCAAGTCAAACCCTTCTTAGGGTTTTTTTCTTTGTGGTTTTTGGCTTTTTCTCATCAAGAAAAAGAAGTGTACTTTTAATTATATTATATTTTTTTTATTGAGCCGTGCTGGGGATCCCCAGTGGGGGTGAACCCCAGCACCCCTACTCCTCGTGGGAAGGTCTGGACCAAGAAAAAAAAAATATTCAACCTATCGCGTGACGCCACATCAGCTGGGGGTCACTGGAGATCTGAAAAATTAGGGGTGCAAAGCATTTTTCTTTTTGTTTCATATTTAGTTTTTTTTTTTTTTTTTTTGTTGAAAAGAAGAGACCTAGCCATCTAGTGATTAGGTGGGACTCACTTGACAATGACAAAACTAGAAGCACAGGGGCCATCTTTACTTAAACAATTATATATTATTGATATTTTGTTTAAAAGTAATATATATTAATAATTTTTTTTTATTTGACCGGGGCCATGGCTCCTGGTGGTCTACACGTTAGTCCGTCCCTGACTGGCCCTTACGTCCGCCACTGCCCATATTATTTATACATATCAAAATAATTATATCAAACTAAATAATCTTTATATGTAAAAAATCTAACAATATTATATGACCAGAAAAATCAACAACTACAATATTATTATTAAAAGGATAACCCCTAATATGTAATATATAATCAATTTTTACATAATAACCTCAGCCTGCACATATATATGTAGACTTCTTGTACTTACCCAAAAAAAATGTAGACTTCTAGTAGACATTACTAATATGAGGATAGATAAAGGGAAAAGACAACTTTGAAGACAAAAGCAAGCACCTTATACCAAAGTAGAATATTTGTCTTTATTGTTTTTTTATTTTTATTTTTATTTAAATTTCCTAATTTTTTTAGTAAAGAAATTGCAATAATTTTGCCTAGACAAAAAGACAAAATAAGTAACAAATAACACAACTCATACCAAACACAAAATATATTCTTTTTTTTGATTCAAAAAATTTTAGGAGGAGGGGAGGCTACCCATTCCAATGGTCAGGGAAAGCGTTACGTAATATTGCCCACCAACAAAGGACTGTCGGCAGTGGGACTCGAACCTAAGCCAGATGGGCGAAGGGAACAAGCCTTACCAACTGAACCAACCCTTGTTGGTAACACAAAATATATTCACCATCACATTTACTTCACTTTCCAAGGGTATTCATGCAAAAAATGTCATGCGTATACGTAGAGTCTATTCGTCATCACATTTACTTCACTTTCCAAGTGTATTCATGCAAAAAATGTCATGTGTATATATAGAGTCCATCACATTTAATAAATAGCTAAACCCACTGTTTCATTTGAAAAGCCACACAAGAAGTAGACAAATTTTAAAACATTTATTCAGAGTCCATCACATTTAATAAATACTAAAACTCATCATGTCATATGAGAAACTAATAAAAAAAAATTTGACAAAGCATTTTATATGATATATTGTTCTAAGAATACTAAATAATTTCTGCTCTTGCAAATGAAAACTATTTGCTGTTATGGCCGGGTATAATTTTGTTGTAAAGAAAGAAATCGTCGGAGTCCAAAGAAGGTGGCTCTGTTGCTAAGCAAGCCTTACCGGAGGGCAACAAATGCCTTACAAAGACAAGAAACAATTGTAACACCCACAATTAGACATCACATCTCCGTTTCTTTTAAATCACTTTTCTACGGTAGGATCGAAGATTTTGAATAGAGTTAAAAAAGTACTTGAAATAAAATCACTACATATTTGTTCAACATCATAGAAACCGACCATAGTCAACTAGGTCATTTGTTTTTGTGACGAGTATATGCAAATTCTTTGGTAATGTATAACCAAAACTAAAGTGACACGGTCTCAAAACAATTCCAACCAAAACTACAATGGACAAACCAACTATTTCCTTTCACAAGACGAGAAAGAATTTCAACAGAAAAAAATTTATTTTTTATTGAAAATTAATAACTTGAACGTTGTTTACAAAGAATGAATCAATCAATGGAATGAACCCAACCTCCAACAAAAAAGGTGCCAAAGCAGGGTGCGAAAAAGAATCGGTAAGCCATTTACAAAATAAAATTAAAATGAACAAAATAATGAAGAAATTAAGTTAAATCCCTTCATCCTCTAGTATATGCTACAAAAAGTTGCAGTAGGGTCCCTACCTCCTGAAGTGCTGCTGGTGTCCTTACCGCCTCGGGTTATGTATCGGTATCGGCTATTCGGTCATATAATGGTCAATATTAGATAGTATTGGCCAATATATCGATAAATAATGGTATCAGAAATCTAAAACCCCGATATGTGACGGGATAATGGTCGATGTTTGAAACCCTGCAGTTGCCTCAATTAGCCACCGCAATAGTGGTTCTAGGACTTGGGAGCCCCATGTATGCTAATCTGGGAGAAAGCCGGACCTTTGGGCTCGGCCGTGGAGAAGGGATCGGACCATAGTTTCCAAAGAGTCCAGCGGCGACTCGGGGCGACAGGTTAACTTGTTCAAGTGCTCGGGATTGTAGCTCTGTTGGGTAGTCCCGAACACAACCGATACGAGGGCCAGTTCCCGTCGTCCACTTGCACGACAAGCGCTTAGCCAAGTTAAAGACCGGTGCTTCCGCACTGGCATCATCAGTGCCCATATCTTCTTGATGATCACTTGTAATTGTGGTTTCCACTGCATCACACTCCACATTAGATGTGTTTGTATCTTCAGATTGTGTATTTGTAGCCAGACTTGTTACAGGTGGCTCTGGCTTTGACTCCTCATAAATAACCTTCACTGAAGGATAGTCATCATCAATTGCACACCTCTGTATAAAAAGAAAATGGTCATCAGTATATCTTTAGAGATTACTCATAAAAACAGTTCAACAGAAACATATTACACAAACATCAGTTACAAACTATGAAGCATGGGCACTCCGAAAAAATTGTAGTACGAGTACCGGGTACTTACCCAACATGGGTACGCAAAATACAGCTCGGTTATGGCTCAAGTATGGGATGGGTACAATTTGGGTACATTTGTGGGTACTTTAGGGCATAAATGTAATTTTCTTTTTTAAAATATAGGAGTACTAGAACAATTATTTTGTGCCTATTTTCAAAAATATAATATATTTTTGCAATTATCAAAAATATAAAAAACGCCTAAGGTTCTTCTTTTGACCATTATAAAAATACTTTAATTCATCCATCCTAGGTTACAAACACCTAAATAACTTGGTATGTATGTCCATAAAAGGTACATATGTAATGTGTTCGCGTCAAAAAATATGTAGAGATAACTGCATACAGGTTCAGAACAAGTACCTTAACATTGGTGAGATCTACATGGTGTTCCTCGAGGAAGCTAATGAATTCCCGGAAGTTCTCTTCTGTTGGGTGATAGTGACCGCTGTATGGCCATATAGCCTGGAAAAGAAAGTCATGACAAAAGACAATGAGAATCACATGACAAAAGCATAATTGCTAATATTTGATGCAAGTGTAGAGATGTGTGTCAGCATTTAGTACCTCAAGAACCCCGTCATGAGCAACTAATCTTCCAGCCGCTGTGGTGGCTGCACCGGAAAGAAAACTCGAATGCTGAAACACACCTTTCTTCTTCTGCCCCACATACAAATTCCTTGATGTGCTTAGGACAAAAATCCACTTCGAACCCTCTGTGGTTTCTACGAGCGAACCACTTTGTCCATACACAAGCTTCCCATTTTCAACTACTACTTCATACGCTTCCCTTTCCTTCTGAAAGGAGACCAGAAAAGATAGCAATATGTCAGATATACACACAATAGATAATTTATGTAAGGAAATATTGTAAAATTCTTAGATGATTTAAAACTTACCGGTCCTAGGTATTTGATACATTGGCGTTGTAGATTGATCCTTGGGCAGGTGTCGAGGTTTACTTCCTTGCCATCGCCTACATCCAACCTTCATAGATCAAAGAAGTAGATTGTAAGAGATAGTCATCACATGGTAAATTGCGCTTTAAGACTTCTGTTCTATATGGTCAATACTTGGATGTGAGAAAGTGGAAGCAATGAAAGAAATAAAGGGTGTTTTATTTATCCTTGTTTGGGTTTTTTGGCGATCCAACTAAACAAATTTGTGAAGCTTAAGATTCCAAACCTTTTTAATAGAAAAATTGTGTTTCTAAGATGTTAAATCAGACTAAACACATTTGTCTTTCTTTTGTTTTGCAATAAGTTGCTCATCAACCGAACAGAGCACACGTTAAGCAATACAAAGTACTCACCAATAGAAGAAAGGCTGAGCACTCTCGCTTTGAAACCAAACATCATAATACAAATGTAAGTTGTGTCCATATCGATGTCGTGGATCAATCTGTAAAAAAATAAAATAAAATTAATGAGAGTGGTTAGATCACTGAATTTAAGTGAAATCAATATTATGATCTTTGAATAAAAATTTTAATTGGGTCAAAAGAGGTCTCATAAAAGCACTTACAGCTTCAAGCCAATGTTGAAGGGCTAGTTTTTGAGCCTTCTCATCCTTGGACAATCCCTTACCCACCTTGGCAGCTCTTGTCCTCGCCCTGGCCCACCGCGAAACAGCAGTTTCAGGTTTCCCGACATTGAAGAACGACACAGAGCTCTGTTTGAGAGCTGCAAAGTCTAATGCTTTCCACCTACAAAAATTATTTTTTAAAAGAATGTTAAGCAACTTAAGAAACATTTCATGTGATTACGAGCAAAAACTTGTAATAGGATGTTAAGAGACAAACCATAGCTCTTCAACCACGACCGCACAATCTGCAAGGTTTCTTCGAGTACGGTAACTCTTATAGACTTTCTGAAGCTTAACTGCAGCGGCATCAAGCTCACATACGGGTCTTGGTGAAAACAATATTGCCGGTTCAGGAAGTGAAATTGAGGGTACTGATTTATCAATAAACCCATCAACTTTATTGTTCGAAGCAGTCAAACCTGAATTCCTTATGTCTTGAACTAAATTCTTGAACGAAAGAGTTGTTTCGAGTATTATTTTCACGGGTTTGCAGTTCTTCAAGTTTATAGAACTCTTTGTACTTCTCTTATTAAAACCATTAGACTTGAGAATGGTTTCTGAATCTGTTTCCTTAAAACTATCAGTTCTCAAGGCCACCTCTTGTCCTTTGTAAGCAAAATTGATGTTGTGGGCCAAACTGAAAAACCAATGGTTCACAATTTCCTCCAAAGCTGATGGAAGTAAGGATAACGATAAACCCATAACAGATTTCAATATTTTAGAAGTGTCACCTGCACATTAAGATTTAGAAAACTATGTAAATTTACAAAATGATAAAACAAGAGAGAACAAAAAGGCTACTATGAATTTACTCCAGCAAGAGTTCCATAAAATGCTAACTTTTCTAATCCAAAGGATCAGACTAATGACGTATACAATACTTGAATTCTCAATACAAAAAAACTGAGTGAAACGTATCTATTTTCCTTTTCCCCATCAAATATAAAATTATTCATACACATAAATAGATGCATCTATACTTTGATAAAGGTATCGAGATATGTATCGGTATCAATGATACGGTCATATATCGACCAAATATCAAACAATATTAGCTAATATATTAATGAATAACGGTATCAGAAGTCCAAATTCTCAACACATAATGGCCAATCTGATAATAACGGCCAATATTTAAAACCTTATGGTATACACCAATAGTGCCCTAGAAAATTATTGAATATTTTAATTTTAACAAAACAAATTCAGGTCTCCATAGAAAAAATTACTCAGAAAAGTGTCTATGCCGAGTTCAAACGCGACATATTCAAATTTGGAAACTTTTTCTGATATTTTTCATTTCCGTCTCAAATGATTAGAATCTAATGTCATCCCAAACTAACCATCTTCCAAATTCTATCATAAATAATCAAAACTAACACCAAAATTACAAACAATAAACAGACAATAAACACAATATGTTCCATGAAATGTACAATTCTAACCAATCAACCCTAAAATCCACAAACATGGATCATAGAAGTTTTTGAGAGAGAACACAAATGTCATACCTGATCAGAGCTTTCAAAAAGTTCTTCTTTTATCTTCCTCAAAACAAATTATCACTTGGGAAAAAAAACCCAATATCAAGTTACAAGATTCTCCAACTCTGACAGCTTTAATTATAAACCTAGCCTTTATATATATCCAAAAGACCCGAAAATCTTCAGACACGTTTCAAGCGATGACTGGAAATTATACAACAGTCCTTTTTACCAGTTTACTCAAATGGTCCTTGAATGAGAATGGAATAGTGGGTTTGATTTATCAGATAGCTAGTTTCAAACCCACGAGCTTGTTTTTGCTGAATTCAAAGCTTGATATTTTGAAACCCCTTTTGAAACGGCAAAAGCTTTATAGGGTTTTGTCTCCCCCATAGTGATTTAGAGAGAGAAAGAGAAGATAGAGGATGAGAGAGAGAGAGAGTCAAAGAAAGTAACTGCTACTCGTAACTTCTATGAAAAAGCACTCGGATTTTGCTCTTCATATGACGAAGCAGAACATGTCAACAACTACTATAGTACTAGTAGTTTAATTAGACTTGGCTGGACTCCCTGGCTCCACCAACACGCGCCTTATATTAGAAAGAAAATTTGAGCTTGTTTGACAAGAAAATGGAAAGGAAAATAGTTGATACCTCCACGTGTGTGGTAGGATAAGTATCAATTTTTTTATTATATATTTAATTTTATCAATTTTAATTTTTTTTGATTATGTTATTGTAAGTAAATTTATAGATCTAAAACGGGGAGTCTTTAACATTTTCCCAATAAAAATTAAAGTGTTAACAGAAAGTTCACAGTTTATTGCTTTTAATAAGGATGTAAATGATTTAGTTCGGTTGGTGTTAAAGGAAAGTTTAGGCTAAGTTTGACATACTTTAAATAATTTATTTTTTTATCTTTTTTCCATCACATTATCTCTCTACTTTTTTGTACATCTTTTCATAAAAAGACAAAAAATACACTTATTTAGGTCATCCCAAACAACCCCTTAATATTGAACCGAATATTTCAGTTTTGATAATTGAGGGTCGACGCAAATCATATGTTACATAAAATTTTAAAGTGTTTTATAAAAACTTATACAATTGTTTTATAAAAACTTATACAATTCTACGTTAGGCATAAATGAGAAAAGTACGAAACTTACATTATAAATATCTCCTTCCATAGTATTTATCACAAAAAGTGTATTATATCGGTAACTTGTATAATGCTCAATGAATTAAAATATAAAATTATTTTAATCTAATATTTAGGCCGATTTAATTTGTTGATATAAAAAACTTAAAAGAGAAAGAAATTGTGCATTATGAAAAACGAACCAAAGCCAAAACTTAGGTCAATTTCATGCGGATGATTTAGTTCCATCAATTTTTCTTACAATCCTAATTTTAGTTTACAGAAAACATTAAGTATATTTATGTTTATTTTTGGTAAAAATAATAACAAAAATTATATTTGTTATATATGTGTATTAAATTTTTGTTTTGAAAGCAAGTTAAAAGGATGGCTCGTAAGAGGTGGTTATTGAAGGTTGAAAATAGTGGCTAGAGGTGGTTGTTGTGGCATCAAAGGTAGTTGGCACTACCCTAGTAGGAGGTTGTTGGCAATGCTCAAAAGTAGTTGCCGACAATCAAAGTTGGTGGTTTGAAGGTATAGTTGTTGACAGTTGAAGGTGGTCGTGGCTGAAGTTTGTTTTGGCAAGACATCGTGGTTGAAGATGGTTTTTGAGAAGTGATGGTGGTCAAATGAAGTCATTAGCGATGGTGGTCGATGGTGGTGCTAAGTAATAGATAGTGGTTTGAATATATTATAAAAAATAATAATAATTTAAACAAGTAAAACAAACTTTTATGTGGTTACAAAAATTTAGCAAATTTTATGAACTGTTTACAATTTTTTAAAAACAAAAACGGACAACAAATAAATTTTTGTACAGTTTTTAAATTCTTGTAAACATAGAATATATATATATATATATATAAACATTACCAAATAGGCCTATAACTAAAATAAATTTGATTCACACATTTTAAATAATATATATTTTAAATATTTTTCTAAATATGTATTTTTGGTGGAAGGGTTTTGCTAACAACCCCTAATGAAAGTTGACTCAAAACCATATGATGTAAAAATAAATAAATAAATAAAATAAAATAAAAATAAAAATAAAATTAGAATTTTAATACACGTTTCACTTATTTTCAAATATTTTTATTTAATTTATATATTTTTCGTGTATTAATATTTTTTGAACATATATTACTGACATTATTCATTAATTACCTATGCGCACTGATTGACATTTCTTTAGGTAAAATTTAACCAACCGACTTAATACTAAATTATTAACTAATCCCAAAATATCTGTTGCATTGATTGCGTGGTGCCCCAACAAATGACAAACAACAACCCATAGTCCTTTCTCGTATCCCATCTTCCAAACATAGGTAAGTAACCATGTATCACCCATAATATTATTTATCATTACACCATGTATTTAAATTATCACGTAAATAATGTCACATAATTATTTAAAATACTCAATAATTACACTTGAGATACCTCAATTAGTTATTATTGTATACTTTCAAATGAAATTAGGGGATCAATTCTTATCGAAGTTTTTTTTATATTAATTTAGTGGTTAATGATCATGAATTTGCAGAGTTGTAAGTGTTATTGAATTTTGGGTAAATTACACTTACCTCCCTTGAGGTTGTTGACAAATACAAGGACCTCTCCTATGATTTCAATAATTATAGTAACCTCCCTTACTTTACCTGACAATGTCAAGATTCTCCCATTCCATCTATTTTGCACAAACGACGTTAGTGGCCTATACAAAATGACCATAGTACCCTTACTTTTTTCCTGCGAAAAGATAAAAATGCCCTTTGTGCACAAAATCTCTAATCAGGCTACATTCACAATACACATCGCAATTCCTGAGAGAAGGAAGAGAGAGAGAGAGAGAGAAAGAGAGAAACGGCAGTAAGCAACGATAAAAAGGTTGATCTGTGTGAAGAAGACAAAGAAGCTATTCGATTTTGGCTCGATCTTTGTTGCTAGTGCACAATGTAAAAGAGTTTCATCGGTGAGAAGTTGTTGTTACGGCTTCCAGGTAAAATTTCGAATTCATTACGCTTCGAATATGATTAATTTGAGTTTGGGGTTTTCAATTTTTTTTTCGTCTATTTTCTTACAAATTTGTTTTTATTCTGGGTTCAATTTTATCAAATACATGTGAAAAGGGTTTTTTTTTTTTTAAATATACATTTAGGGTTTGTATTTTATTTGCAAAATTTGTAACTGGAAAAAGGAATTTGTTGAATATTACTATAATAATAGTGTAACCTAGGGATTTATTATGAATTTGTGATTTTTTGGATTTTATTTATGAGATGCATGTTTAGGGCTTTTATTTGATTTACAAAATTTTTGACTAGAAAAAAGGAATTTGTTGAATATTTATGAATTTTTGATTTTCTGGGTTTTATTTATGGGATGTGTTTCATTTACAAAATTTGTCACTGAAAATAGGGATTTGTTGAATATTAGTATAATAGTAGTGTAATTTAGGGATTTCTTATGAATTTGTCAATTTTTTGGGTTTTGTTTATAGGAAATCTATTTTTTCTTATGAATTTGTGAATGTATGGGCTTGCTTATTGTATTAGGGATTTTCTTCATTTTTTCTTCTTTTCTTCAATTAATTGTTGAGTATAGTACATCTTAGGAATTAATTGTTACTTCATTATGATCACATTATGGTTGCATTTCCTTATTTTGATTTAATCATAAACTACAAAGGGAAAGTGGGAATAGTGTATGATGTGGATCCAAATATGTATTGCTACATTGATGCCTTGAAGGATGTCACTGCAACAGGCATCTCTCACATTTCTTGTAGTAAAGCAATAGCAATTACATTGCATTGTGATATGTCTGGTACTGAGACAAGGAGACTAATAGAAAATGATCTTGATGTGCTGGACATGTTTTATGTACAAGGTAGGAGTAAAACAATTAACTTGTATGTAGACATAACATATTCTATTGCAATGAGTGATGGTGGACATAAAAGTGTAGCAATCCCAGTTTCGATCCTTCTTTCATGTTTTGTCACTTCGACTGAGCTGGTCGGGGATCGAGTTGCCTGGTCAGCTCGTGGGGGTTGAGGGGGCAACGCCCTGGAGGGGTTGAGGGGTAGCGCCCCCGAAGCAAAAATGCAAAATGCATTCGAAATTGCTTGTCTGCTCGAGCGGCCGTTTATGCGCTCGAGTGGAGAATGTTTGGTTTCAGATGTTTGACTTGTCTGCAAAAGTACTGGGTTAGTGTATTTGACGCTCGAGCAGGGCATTCCACGCTTGAGCGGACCATGTCATATCAGCTTGTGAATCTGATATTTCAGATCATTTTTTTCAGTTCTCTCTCTCTCTTTAAAACTCTCTAGAATTCCAGATAGAGAGCTTTTCTCTCTAGAAGTCATCTTCTCTCTTTGATTTCTCCAAATCCATTGAGATTTAGACCTAAGTTCTTCACCAAAGTTGGTTATCATCAAAAAAGGCTTCGTTATGTGCGGTGAAGATTGAGTTTTGACACCGTTGATTTTGGAAATTTCATCTCATTTCTTCTTCAAAACTTGAGGTAGGGATTTTCTTAGAGTTATATATATATATGTATATTTTTACAAGATCTAGATGATTTTCGAAATCATCTTTCGATAGCTTTGAAAATTGATTGTTGATGCAAGAAGTTGAGCGATTTTGAAAGTCGGTTTGTCTCTTGTTCTTTTAAAATGATCTTATGGGTTTTGATCTTCGTTGATTGAAGAAAATATGATTTTGAAAAGTTTTCTTTCAAAAGATTTGAGTTGTATAGTTTTGGTGAGAAGACCTAGAATTTGGGAATTCTTTAAAAGAGACTAAAAATCCATGAATGATATTGTTATATTTATTTTGTGTGTCAAAACAAATGGATGTTTGAAAATTTTCTTATTTATATTTGTATAAATGATGAATTTCAGGGAATATGAGAATTGTTGTTCATTTTGGAAATTATTGTTCTAAACGTTGAAATAGTCTTGAAATGACTAATTATTGAGGATACTTGAGAAGAGGGAATTGTGCTATTTCTTGGATGATGAATTGGAATAAAGGTATTTATATTCATCTTGTGTTATTGGCATAAAGATTTATTTGATTACATTAAACTTTGAAAGTTGATTTGAAAACTTGCATTGAGAAAAGAATGTTGAGAAACAAGTTTTCATGAAATGGTTTTGGGGTAAATACGTTGGTAAGTCTTGATAGGTGGTGTAGATGATATTGAATAAGTTGGCTTGAGAGTCCGAGTTGAAAGACTGAAAACCCACGCGGAGAGGTGTCGAGCCTTCCGGTTAATACGGGTAAAAATGACAATTTGGTAGTACTTGTATAGTCTAC